TGGGTAATATTCTCTCGTTCTTGGAGTTAAATTTATATTTTCTGGAAGTTCAGTAGATGGAACAATGTTGGTTTGATTTTCTATTTTTAGGAAAGTTTCATTTGAGCTGATTAATTTGATCACGAAAGTGCTATTTATGTTCAAGTTATAGTATTCTAATATCGTCCATCTACAAAACTAACAGTTTCTCCTACATGGAAAATGATATACATGAATTATTTGTCGTAACTTGGTTCTTGGAGTTGTCCAATGTTCATTGGTGGTTATTATGGTTCTTTTTCTATTTATTAAACATGCACAAAGAGAGTGAGGTAGTAGTTATTATTGAAAGTTGATTTAGGGCCCGTTTGGCATTGCTCTTGAAAAATCAAAATGAACTTTTGAAATTCAAAAGCTGCTTTTGGACTTATTTGACTAATTTTATGAATCCTTCGTTGGGGAAGAATTTATAAACGATCTAATTTATAAATTGATAGAAATAAGTGATAGATAGGTGAATAATACATGTGAATCCTTTGAAATGTGTTGTTGAAAATGAAATTTTATCATTTATAAATCATTTTAAGGCGAATGGAGGCTAACCAACCAATTTTCCATTTATGCATATTGAACTTGTATAATTCGGGCTCATTTATTGGATTGTTTTGGTACCATCTTCTATGCTCTTGTAGTGGGTATTAAAATTAAATTTTTAGTAAAATTTTGATAATAGTTGATTAAATGTGTTGTTAAAAAGTTGTGAATTCTATGAAGTATATTGTTAAAATTAATTGTTGGCTTTGATTTATATTAAAAATTAGATTTTAGTCCCTACCAAACAGGTTTTTATAAATCATATTGAGTAACTTTGAGTGAAATTTTCCCACAATTGTTTATCATATTTTAGACATTTAGATCATTTTTAGGCTGTATAAAGCAATCGGTGCTCCACTTTCTTATCTAAATGTAGAGCTTGTTCCATCTTTCTTATTTGATCTCCGGTTCTCAAAATTCATATGAAGTTAATAGATAGTGAACATGTTCATTTGTGCTGAAAAGTTATTTATTTTTCAGCAAGTATTTGTTAGTAAAATATTCATATAATCAAGTTTAACTTATTTTTAAGTATAACTATACTTATAATGGCAAACCAATTCCAAATAAGAAACTTTTTCTATCTTCTAAAGTTTTAAAAGTATATTAGTGTATTATTAATTGTTTAGATCTTATGCAAGCATTTCTGAGGGTCGCAAAAGATCTTAATGCTATTGTGATTGCAACCAGAGAGAGTCAAGAGAGTAGGTTTGGCCTATACTGGTTCTTCATGTTTTAATTAATTCTATCATTACACGTTTTACCTCAACTTTGATGCTTGAATTAAAGTGTTTCGGTGCTATCTTCTTTTATGAATGAGTAAGAACATGAAATTGGTTTCACTTCCTACCTTACTATGCATCATCTTTATGATGCCCTGGGGCTCAAGCTTCGTAGTGTTGTTAAAACTTAGTTAAGCATTTTAAGTATAAAACACAAAGGAAAATTGTATAGGATTATAAAAAATAAATGACTAATGCCATTAATAACAATAAACTAATTTTTTTAAAACAAAGTCGCGTATTCAATAACTTTTGACATAAAAGAAAAAGTATTTCNTTGTTGTTCTTAAATGTGATATCATTCTTCCAAGCAATAGTGAGGCATACAATGTATTCATTCGCCAACAATGAAATCAAAGACAGAGGGATTGGAGAAATCGAGTCAAAGCTGGACGAATTGATTCTATGAAAAGGGTAACTGACATAGTATTATCCGAAAATACTAATTTCAGTTCTGCCCATGTGAATGAAGCTATAATATGTCATGATTTCGAGGCTTCTACTTCAAACCAAGAAACGACAGATGTTTCTAAATGTGTAAAACTTGTGAACATACCAAATACTGTATATGTATTACCAACATGTACCTCTTGTAAATATTGTGGTGCACGAAAATTTTATAGAGAAAGTAAAGGTTTTTGTTGCTTAGATGGAAAAGTTATACTTTGTATGCCCGATTCACAACTGAACTATATACTTTGTTTACTTCTAAAGAATCTAGGAAAATGGAATTTAAGAAAATTTCGAGAGGGTATGATAACCACTTTACATTCACTTCTTTTGGTGTAAAGTATGACAAAGAACTTTTTAAAGCATATAGAAGTATTTACACATTTAAGGTTCAAGGACAGGTATATCATTATGTAAATCACTTTTATGCCAGAGAATGATACTCCTTGTTATATGCAATTATATTTTTACGATACGGATAATGAACTAGAAAATCGTATGAAATATTCAGAAAAATTTGTATAATCTACTTTGATTACTTTAATTGAAATCCTGAAAGTAAATCTTTATAGTAGATTCTTTAGGTCTTTAAGTAATATGGATAATTTGCATGATCATTGTATACACATTAGATGTCACCTAGGACTTGACAAAGAGTTTTCAATACTCCTTCATCCTCTCAGTTGGCTGCTATATGGGTTGCAGATGATGAAAATGCAGATGTTTGCAGTCGTGACATTACTATATATGGTCATTCTGACGATTCACATAGGGTTCATTATTACTACGGTTGTTATGATCCTTTGCAATACCCTTTACTTTTCCCATTTGGAGAATCTGGTTGGCATGAAGGCATCAAAAGAATTCGAATAAAAAACTGTCAACCTCAGAATCTGCCTAGATTTGTTAGTCTACCTAGCACAATTAATTCTGCAAATGAAACAATTTAAAAAGAGGCTGCAGGTTTGCAAATATATCTTTTATTATCTTTTCTAATTTCTGCAAGCTACATCTTCTAAATTAATATTGAAATTCGTTTTTCTTTTCAAATGCAATGCTAAATGGAACAAGGAAATGATCTCAAGTCTCTTGCCGAGAATATTATGTATACAAGTTACAAATTAGGCCCTCAAGTAAGTCTATATTGCTTCATGCTGGTAGACTTTTTCAGCAATATGTTGTAGATATGTATGTTAAAATTGAAACTTCGAGGTTAGACTATTTTTGCAATAATCAGAAACAAATTCGTGCTGAAGTTTATCAAGGTATTGTAGATAGTGTTGAAAATGGGGAAACAAGGGGATACAAAATTGGAAGGAAATTCATTTTACCTCAATCCTTTACATGTGGTCCTCGAGATATGTTAAGGAGATATATGGATGCAATGGCTATTGTTTAGGATTATGGAAAATCAGATATATTTTCGACTATAACATGTAATCCAAATTGATTAGAAATTAAGTAAGAACTAAAGCACAATGATGAAGTTCAAAATCGACCAGATTTGATAGCACGTATATTTAAAGCAAATTGGAAGGGTTTAAAAATGATTTATACAAGGAAAATATTTTCGGCCCTATTGTTGCTCAGATATACATGATTGAATTTTAAAAAAGAGGGCTTCCTCATGAGCATCTTCTTTTGATTTTTAGTTTTGGCCATAAAATTTGTTGTGCTCAAGATGTTGATACGATAGTGTCCGGCGAAATTCCCAATAGAAACAAATATCTACATCTTTATTCTGTTACTGTAAAACACAATATGCATGGCCCTTGTGGATATCTTAATCCAAAAATATATGCATGGAGACAAATACTGGTTGTAAGAATAAATACCCTCGGGATTATTCTAATAATACTATATTTGGTGATAACTCATATCCATTGTATAGATGACGTGATACTGGTATTTGTATTAAAGTTAGACGTCATATGTTCAGTGAGTTGTACCAAATAATCCTTATTTAAGTGCAAAATTTGACTATCATATTAACGTTGAAGTATGCTCATTTATTAAAGTTGTTAAATGTTTAATATGTATATAAAGTACATGATCGTATTAACTTTTCCATTGACAGTAATGAAACAAATAAAGAAATTGATGAAATTTCTGCTTAATTACCAATCTGCGAGATGGATCTCTCCACCTGAAGTTATGTGGAGAATTTTTTTCTTCAAATTTGTCAGAGAATTTTCCAATTGTTTATTCTTTACAACTTCATATTAAAGATCATCAGCGTGTAACATATGACGATCAAGATGATTTGACTACTGTTATTAACAATGAAAATATAAGAAGAACAATGTTGATTGAATTTTTCCGACTTAATGAAGCAAATGAGTTTGCTAAAACACTTTTGTATAAAGATATTCCAACACATTTTGAAGGAGAACGTTATTTCCTTCGTGTACTTCTTAATCATATTAAAGGACCAACATCATTTGATGATTTACTTACTTTCAATAGGGTTATTGTTGCTATATATCGAGAAGTAATACTATTACATGGTTTGTTAAGTGGAGACAATCATTGTGAAGAATGTCTATCCAAAGCTATTATTTCCGAGATGCCTATTTCTTTGAGGCACCTCTTTGCTACGCTTCTTACTCTTTGTAACCCTAATCATCTGAAATTTCTTTGGGATAAATTTAAAGTTTATATGGTTAAGGATTATTTACATCAAAATACATCTGTTGATGTAACACCCCAAATTTTATTGACTTAAATTTTGGGGTGTTACCGATATCATTCCATAAACATACTTGATGTGGAAATATTTAATTGAAAATTTAAAACCCTTACATTTATTTGAACTCTTAAATACTAAATAAAATAAACATAGCATCATAAACTTTAGAACATTAAATAGAAACAAAGAAAACACACCAAGTACTCTTAACAAAATTATTCGTGAACATTTCTCTAAAGATTTTATTTGGTAGCCCGCACACCGCTCACTACCATCCACATCGATCGTACTGACATGAAATATTAAAATTTAAAGGAGTGAGTGATTATACTTAGTAGGATAAATGCGTCCAAACAATACGATAACTTTTAAACGTAAATTCATAACATTTCATACCATCATTTTATCAAGAGCAATCGATGATCAATCGAAAGCTCTAACACATTTGAGAAGACCCGAAGACGATCTCACATTTCATTTCATAGGAACCCGCAGGTCAATTAGCATTTCATGAAATAAATCACGTCAAAAAAATTACAATATTGAAAGGACGAGACAACTTGCACATAGTATCCTACCTTGTCAGCTCGAATGAATATGAAAGGCAATACCAAATTCACGTTTCAGATTTTTACTTTCGCCTATTACTGTGCTGAAGTATATGTATTTTTTTTCTTGGGTGAGAATTATTTGGACGTAATGGGTGTATTTATAGGGTCCATATCAAAATTTCAAAATTTAGTATAATTGAAATGATGATGCCAATTAAATAAAGTTTACCATTTACGTTTACCTCAATTAAATGTGATTTACGGTTATATATGGGACAGACTCCCACGAAAGGTGGTGATCAAATTTTTCTGCTTTTTACTATCTAACACAATAACGTGTTTTACTCAATTCCGAAATACGCGAGACAGAGTCAAAAGAATAGTATAGAAATGAATAATGCTATGTATGGTATTTAAAGTGTGATTGGGAAAGAAATGAATTTTTAATAGGCCAAAAATCTGCACATATGTTGTATTTTTTCAGTCTAAATCCCAGTATTCCATACAATCAACCTTTATTTCTTTTCTATATATAAACAACGCATGGTAGCCCACACTTACCAAATTCCAAAAATCAAGGCAACTAAATCATTTAAAAAAAGGAACCTACCTTATCTACCATCTAACCTATAATTTCAAAAATCAAAATGGGACACTCCAATTACGTGTGACAGTATCTCTATTTCCATTTAAAAATTTTAATTCAATTAAAATACTAGTTTTTAACAACTTTTTCAAGCTACAATATCTTGGTACTGAATTACCCGAATCGATTTTTTCTCGAGTCTAAAATATGTGATTAATTACAATCAATCCAATGGGTATAATATTAATATACTTATCATTACTCTATACTTTTTAATTTTTGACCCAAATAAAAAAAATGTGTTTAATACCTACATCATTTTAGTCATCGTTTTTTTTTTCAAAATATAAAAATGTAACATATAGAACAAATACATTTTTATTCTAAAATTTTCGGGGCGTTACAATCTTAACCCCTTAAAATAATTTCGTCCTCGAAATTATCCTATTTGGCTAAGAAGTCTTGGAACATGAACTTGATCTCATCTTCTTCAAACTTCAAAAAGTTTACCTTCTCAAGGCATCGCATGGTCGCATAATTCTTTCCAACCAATCTAATCCCAAGATGGCATAAAGAGAAATACTTCATCTCTTAAAAGTCATATGTTAGCTATAAATTCTTGTCTATTCGTCCTGATTGTCCTAGTCATCGATTGGTGTTAAGCTCATTGTCTAACGGCTAGTAACTTCTAGAACAAGACTTAGTACTGGTAAATGATGAATGAGCAGTCGGGCGTATATTTAAAACATAAGCAGGCAGTGCAAATATTGATAGGGTACCTGCCGTGATGTCTTAATTGTTAGTTTCCTCCTGTTGGGTTATGGCAAACACTCGGGCTGCTCCCTTTTTGCTTTGTTCGTTTTCCTGCTTTGGTGAGGGCTCATGACAATTGGTAGCAATATGACCATGCTTTCCACATCGATAGCATACATTCTTTCCATACCAACACTCGCCTCTATGGGTCTTATTGCACTTAGGACACAGAGTAAGAACATTGTTCGGTTTGCTTGACTCTGCCCACCTTTCAGAGCTAGTTCTTTTGTTTTGTCCATTTTCTTGACCCTTGTTCAGTTCATTCCATTTCCTCTTTCCTGAAAATTCAGTGCTTTCTCGCATCGTCTGATCAATTTCTAATCGATTTGAAATTGCGTGGGCTCGTTGTAGAACCTGACTATACTTGGTGAATTCATGAGATGCCATGATTTCTCCAATTTCTGGGTGAAGTCCGAGTTCGAACCTTCTAGCTTTCTTTTGCTCTGTATCTACTAGATGTGTCGCGTACCTAGAAAGTTGTTCAAACTTCCTCTCATAGTCGATCAATGCCATCTTTCCCTGCTTAAGTTGCAGAAATTTTGTCTCCTTACGATCTCTTAGGGCTTGTGGGAAGTATTTTTCCATCACCTCCTCTTTGAAATGTGCCCAAGTAAGGTTACTTTGTTATGCCTCAGTCCTAATGCATGAAGCGGACTCCCACTAGTGGCCCGCCGCATCCACTAGCATGAACTCCCACATAAAACCTTTCGAGCATAAGTGCAGCTGAGATGTTTGAAGATTCATTCTAAACCCCTTATCCATTCTTCAGCTGCCAAAGGACCAGCCATCCCATTAAATGTAGGGGGCTTATAACGAAGAAACTGTTCCACAACTAAGCTCGTGGTGTTGGAGTTAGTCTGTGCATTCTGAGGGGACGCTTGTGTTTGCTGCCTACCAAGATCTTGCAACACTCTACAAATTCTTAAACATAGCAGATTGTGTTGGTTGACGTGTCATTTCCTTTAAATCAACAAAATAAATTTCATCTTAGAAATAGTCAACAACATCTCAATAAATTTGAATGGAAAACTCAGTTTCATGAGATTTTAAATCCTAGAATACACGAGGGATGATTGAGAGTATTAAATCATAGACAATTAAGAAAAACCCATGGATTATTCCAAATATTTTTTTTTTGGAAAAGGAAGAAATTATTTATCTAACTAAACTATCTTCAAGTTGCTAGTCTTCATCATCGTTGGTCCAGACATTTTGAATCCTACGAAGCTTAGACGGAGGGGCTTCATCATCCAAAGATATACATGACTCAAGCTCAGATTCCCGTCAACCTCTAGCTCAGGGTTTAGTTCGAACCCTGGCTCTTGTTCTAGTTCTAATTCTGGCTCTAGTCCCGGTACATACTCCGGCTCGTTCTCTGGTTCTAAATTAGGTTCATAATTCGACTCCACTTCTGGGTCTTCATCAGGGTCTTCCTCTGGCTCAGGTTGAGGCTCAGGCTTAGGCTCGGGCTCGAGAGTAGAAATCCACCTATCAAGAAAAGTTTCACAATACAATTTGAACTCGATCCTTTCCGGGTGCTTTGGGGGGTTACCCTCTAGCGTTTCATCCCTAACTACTATGCCCATGTCTCCCTACTAAGGTGGCAGTGTATGGATAAAATTGTTTACAGCTTGAAAGGGTGTAATCTCATGCCCTACACCCTCCGTCGCAGCCCACCTGGCATAGACTTCCTCCACATGCTCAATAAGTGTGTGCGTTAGGTCTGTTTCATAATTCCCGTAGGCTTGGATAACTGCTGCCCTATGGTTTAAACCAATCTTACAAGCCGTCGTCTTTCTAACGGTCTCTCTAGTTCTAGCCATGACTGCCACACACAAGTCAAGTCCAATCATGTTTAATGTTTCATTAGTGATAACACATTACCCTTTATGCTTGCATGATTCATTATACAAATAACATCAAATATTATACTCGTATCGAAAGCTGATTAAAAAAAACATGCTAGAAAATAATTCATAACACAGATAATACAAAATATTATACTTGTATCGAAAGTTGAGTAAAATAAG